ACCTGCAAAGTATTTTTCCCAAGGATTTGCTTATTGAAAGCCCTGTGCCAGGAACGCCCCCAGCAAGAAACCACACTCTGGGATATAAAGCAGGAAGTTTTGTAAAAATAATGAAGCCCGGGGTCCTCAAGCAGCTGGTCCCCGAGAGTCACGTGGGAAGTGTAGTCTGAACTATAGGATTTCACAGCAGATGTATCCTGACAAACAGGAAAAATAAACCAGCAAAAAACAAATCAAGCCTTTACCTCGAGTGACCTCTCTGCTTCACAGCATGCAGATTAGCAACCACACTCCCTTTTTTGCTACAGCGGCCACAAAAACGGCACGGCTGTGCAGCGCGACTCATCTCCTGAGACCTGGACAACTCACTGCAATGCCACGCTGCGTCCTGGGCTGCTCATCCCTCCCTCCACTCCAGGGATGTTTCCCACAGTCTCTTTTGCGGTGAATCACCAGGTGCTTGACCATTCCAGCTGCATCCTTCGCATCTCTTCAGGCCGTTCCAGGAACAAGCACGCATGAGAAAGTGCACCCAACCAGCGACTCAAGGGCCGTGGACACTTGAAAGAACCTTTCCACAGGGGTGCGGGCTGCTGCTGACCCAAAATTATGCAAAAAGAGTAATTTCGTGCAACTCTCGCTTCTGAAGTAGCTGTGGGGGTTTTTTAAACCTCCAGCCTGTTAAACTCTGGGCAAGGCAGAAAATGCCTGGAACCCGAGCAACGCTTTCACCTATGCTGAGAAGTCCACAAATTAGCCATCACCCCACACGCCTGCCAAAGGCGTTGCTCACCTGACACCCGCTCTGCATTCTCCAGAAGAAACAAGTTACCCTTGTGCAGCGGCGTGCCTCATTTCCTACAGATTTACCTGTGGTCTCCTCTTAAACTGTTTACTTTTTAATGAAGTTTGCAATCATAACACGCGTCCCCAACAGAAATCATCCAATGTATTCAAAAAATACTGAAGCCGGTAGCTTTACATGTATCTTTGTCCAAACTTTACCTACCTATTTGTTGTATCATGCATATCTAGCATTCAAATATCCCCACAAGGCTTTGGAATTAATGCTGCACGGAGGGAAAGTGAAGTATCTGTATCTCAGGGCTACTCCTTCAGGAAGTCTGAATATGTAGATCTATACTAATGCAGATTTCATATACCGCTTATCTTCAGCAGAGCTGTAACAATTAGACACGGGTTTGTTTCCAGCCAAAACCATAAGCTTTGGGAACGTTAATTACTGAGCAAGACGCAAACGAAGCACAATTACAGCCACATTAGACACAGGACGCCAGCAACGGGGGCTGCTGTGTGGTGGAGAGGAAGCCCGAACACAAGGTCAGCAGCGCTGCACGTCAGCAGTGCGCGGGGAGCGCTCCGAAGCAACGTGAGCGAGCTGCTCTGTCGTGGGGGTTTTGAGGTTTCACTCTTTTCAGCTACCAGCGAGGCCCAGGGGCTCAATTCTGCGCCACTGGCAGCAATGCCTTCAGCAAAGCAAGCACCCTGACGGCTGTAGCTATTTTTTCTGGCATTTTGCAGGAGTTGAATTTCTGAGTTTGAGGAGAAAACAACAGGTGAGGCTCAAGCAAAGCGAAGAGCAGCTGGGATATGAATCTGTGTTCCCACAATTAAAACAAATGCACCCTCACTAGAGCTATTTGTACCTTTGATTAGTCGATACCACTGTTTGCAGACAAGGGCAGCAGTTTTGTGCTCCTGGTAGGGTGAAAGGAAGGAGAGGATATATTCCAAAACCTCTTCTGGGAGCTCCAGCATTGATCTGTTATGCCTGGTCTCCTCGACCTCCAGCTCAGCATGCGGCTCATCGTCTTGCTCCATCGTCCCTTCGACCACAGCGTCTTCTGGATCCACGGCCATGAAACCGTCATCTTCACTGTCCGAGGAACTGGCCATGGCATTCCACTTCACCACTTCACGGGGGGGAAAAAAAAAGACAACAGCAAGGTCACAAAGAAAATCCATAGCATCAGAAATGCATCTGCAAGCTGTGCACGTTACACCACAGGTTATTGAGCTCTACCCCTGCAAGCTCCACGTCGAGGACGTGGTTTTTGCAAAGCTTTGAAGCAGGTTGCACGCAGTTTAGGTATGAGGCATCCTCCACTGGCGCAGCATTTTCCCAGGCCACTTCTTCATCTCTCACTGCTCTCAGCCCCACCGTCGCCTACAGACGGTACCAGAGAGAGCAAAAAACCAACCCACTGGAGGAACCGCAGCCCCTCGACTCCTGCTCCCTCGCCAGGCAGAAGGCACCACGCTGCTGGCCGGTGGCCCTGGCTGTTCGCACCATGGGGCCGGGCAGTGACGGGGAAAGGGATCCCCCCAGAATTGAGAGCAACCCAAGGCGAGAGAAGATGGAAGCAACAGCTCTGCAGCCCCTCCTCCCCTGCGAAACCAGTTTTGCCAGCGAGCCTGCTTTACCCCAAGCAACTTCTCAGCAGCACACGGGAAGGTGGGGGAATCCTGTCCCATTCTCCCTTAACATCCCCCTTTTTTCTTTTTTTATTAAATACTTGCAGGCATTTGCTTACTGACAGTAGGTGAGGGAAGAAAAACGCCCACGGGATTTACTGCTGCTGAAAGGCTGGAATATTGAATATTGTATCTCCAGCTATTCAGAACATCTTAAGCATAAGGTACCGCACCGATGACAGATATACATCATGAAATAAATCCATCTTAACAAGCGGCTGCGTCCAGTTCAGCCAGTTGGCACGCAGTGCAGTTAAACCCCTGCCTGTCGCTGCAAAACAAATCCCTGGACCCTATTTTCTGGGAAGCAGCTGACCCGCTTTGGGGAGGGCGGTGATAGCTCTCCCTTCCGACACTGCTGGGTGAAAGCCAAGGGATGCAACTGCTCCGTGATTATACCTGCACCGACAGCTCAAACCAACACAACAACTCACGAGGACGACACAGGGACTTCCTTCCCCAAAAACTGCAATCACTCATTCCCTTCTTCTCCTTTCCCAGCACAGCAGGTTGTAACGAAGGACCCAAAGCAGGGCAAGCTCTCAGCTCTTACATCGCCCAGCGTGAGCTACTCCCAACTCCCGGCGGCAGAGGCTGCCCAGCCATCCCCAGGTCCCAGATCCACTGGGATGATGGGATGTGGATCAACACAGTCTGTGGAACAAATCCCAGCTGCAGCAAGCCCAGGAAGCAAACGGCTCCTCAAGAGGGAAGACAAGACACGGCGCTTTGCCCAACGTACCTTGCACTATGTTGGCCATAAATTACAGTAACTTATTTTTGCCAAACTTAGTATCGCACATAATAAGGGTGCAAGAAATTTAAGTTACTGAGCTATCAGGAATAAATGAAGCCGTTACAAGCTCCCAGCAATGCAATCTCTACTGCCTTCCCAGGCTAAATCCAGGGTTTTCCCATCCTGCCATACACCGAGACGAAGAGCCATGGGAATAGCAGATGGCGGAGACGCGGAGCAGAAAAGCTTGCCATGACAACTAATTCATGCTCAGAAAAATTACGTTCGACAGCATTACTCTCCACTTTTGTCAGGTTCCCTGATGAAGCAGCTTCAGAAAATCCATGGGGCTGTCAATCTTCGGTAGAAACCACGTCAAAATTAAACTTACAAGTTATCAGCTTAACAGATGCTTGGCACGTTTTCCCCTGTCAGAAATCCTTCTCAGAGTCAATGTTGTGACAGAGAAAGGCTGAAACCCAAACGCTCTGACACAAGCGCTGCTGCTGCCAGCAAACTGCATTACGCAGCAGATAATGCACAAATTCCCAAAGATTAAGAAATGGAAAACTGGGGAAAAAAACAAAGCTGAGCTGCGCTAAAAAAAAAATTAATTAAAAAATAGAGGGTTGGGTCTTTTCCAAGCATGACACAGCGTGGGAGGAAGCCAAAGGCTCCTGGTACTCCAGCCTCGGGATGCGGTTTCGCTCGAGCCGGGGAGGTCGGAGGAAGGAGGGTCAGTCCCTCTCTCAGGGCTTGGGAAAAGAGAGCGCCGCATGTCTACCCAGGCAGAGCAGCAGGCGTCTCACACCCTGGAAACGTGCTAGAAAACCAAACAGAAGTGCTTTTGCATCCAGATCAGGTACTATGGGACACCTGCGGGTGACAACGCCGAACATAAGCCTCGGCTTGACAGGTTCACACAAGACATCTGTCATGTTATTAAGGTTTAGAAGCAAAGATTATGTGCGTTTCCCAACAGCTTGTATTTACCCTTTAAATAATGTCCAAAACCCGCTGGAGGAAGTCAGATGGGAAATGCAGGAATCATAGAATCACAGAATAGTAGGGGTTGGAAGGGACCTCTGTGGGTCATCTAGTCCAACCCCCTGCCCAAGCAGGGTCACCCAGAGCAGGCTGCACAGGACCTTGTCCAGGCGGGTCTGGAATATCTCTAGAGAAGGAGACTCCACAGCCTCCCTGGGCAGCCTGGGCCAGGG